TCTGTTTGTGTCTCTCTTTTCTTCTCGGTCTCTCCCTGTCTCTCTCTGTTTCTCCCTCTCTGTCTCTGTCTCTCTCTCCCCCATTTGTCTTTCTCTATGTGTCTCTGTCTCTCTGTCCCTCTCCTTCTCCATCTCTCCCTGTCTCTGTCTCTCTCTGTCTCTCTGCTTCTCTCTCTTACCCCTCCTCTCTTGCCTGCTTGCTTGCCCCCCCATCCTCCTTCCCGTTTCTCCGTGACACTTTAAGGAGACCCAGGACTTGGGACTTCTCCCAGGCCTCTCCGTCTGTTTCACCGGTCCGTCTTTCCAGGCCCCAGACCAAGCGTCAGGGTGGGAGTGTGAGGGGCTGGGCCTCCCCTGTGAATCGCCTGCGTGTGTTTCCATGGAGAGCTGGCTGCATTGAAGGGGTCAGGACACAGGCAGTGACCACGGGTGTGGGGCATCCTCATCGGCTGGTGCACACGGCCCAGGCCATGGGACCAGCACAGCAACCTGGAACATCACACGGAAGAAGACACTGTCACGTGGAGTTGTTTTCTGGATGGGAGTGAACATTTGCCCCAGAGAAAGCAAGATTCCTCTGTGGTGGGCCGTGGAGGGGGCCACAGGCCCCAACTCTCCAGGGAGGCTGTTCCCACGGTGGCCGGCTGTGGCCAGGAGCCCCATGGCCTCCCGCCATTCCCCGGGGCGGCGCCACATCCGTGGTGAGCTCATGTCGCTGGCCACCTGGAACCCCAAGGCAGCCGATGAGCAGACGCTGCTTCTCTGCCCCTCGTGGTCTTCCCAGATAAACCGCCATGGTGCTGTGACTCAGGACAGGCTCAGCGGTCTCAGCTGGGCTCCCACTTGTCCACTGACTGGGGAGTTCCCCTTTCTGGGACCTCCGCTCCCCCCGGGGTCGCTAGGGAGGGGCCCACAGTCAGGAGGGGCTGTTTCTGAGTCCTGGGACATGCCTTGGACTGTGTGGCAGGACAAAGTGCACCCACCCCAGAGAGGTCACCATGGCTGTCACCTCCATGTCTCCAGGTCCTGAACGTTAGGGCTGCCCAGAGTCTCCCAGGGTGGGCCCTGCAGTGGTTCAGGGGATAGACTCCTGCCAGGGCAAGGGACTCCACCACTGCAGAGCTGCCAGCGCGCCTGGTTGGCACACGCAACCTGCTGGCTTTTTGCCTCTTTGGAGGAAAACAGGAGATGGAGCGTGGGACTTCCCCAGGCTGCCCGCAGGAGCCTTGGGCCCCATGTCACAGGCTGTGCTGGGGCCTTTGAAGGGGACAGAGTACAGGGCAGGGGCTGCTGGGAGGATGAAGGGCGAAGCCCAGACTTGTGGCTGGAGAAGCAGGTGTCCTCAAAGTCGGGCAGGAGGCATGAGGGGAGTGGCCGGGGCACCTGGCCCACAGGCCAGGGCGAGCGACGCTGTCATGGGGCCTTGGGGACCCTCCCTGAAGGCCGCATGTCACCGACATGCAGCAGGCGCTGGGTGCTCCCGGCAGGCGGCCTGGTCCAGAGGTCACAGTGGCCTGGGTTGGACCCTGCTTCCAATTGTGCGAGGTGATGCTAGTGCGGTTGGGCCCTGCCCGCCTGGGCAGAGGCAGCAGACTCTGGGGGACTTGCAGACGTGGCCCATGGGGCAGGATGTGGTCAGGTCCCTGGTGCCTGGACAACAGGTGGTTGCTGCTGGGAGGACCCTGGTGGGGACTTGGGTGGCTCAGAGACAGGGATAGGTGGTGCCGGCAGGCCCCAGGGAGCAACCGGGGCCTTGCTGATCTGAAGGGGACAGAGGACAGCCAAGAGGTTGGTGCTCGCCTCGAGTGGGACATGCAGCCATGATGGGAAGGGAGGTGGGGCAGCAGGGGATTTATGTCGAAGGGCTCAGGCTGCTCCGGGGGCAGGGCTGAGGGAGGGAAAGGCTGGCATCAGGAGGGGTGGGGCCTGGGCAGGGGCCGTATCATCTAGGGAGGGGTTGCCTTATCTGGGGAGGGGTCACCTCATCTAAGTAGGGATCGCCTCATCTAGGGGTCTCATCATGTAACAAGGGTTCACTTCATCTAGGGAAGGGGTCGCCTCATCTAGGGTAGGGGTTGCCTCATCCAAGGAGAGGTCGAGTCATCTCAGGGAAGTGCCGTCCTCCCCAGGAAGCCACGGCAGGGCCAGCTGCGTGCACATCGGGTCGGTGTTGTCACCTGTGTCCAGGCTGCCTGGAGCCGGTGTTTTGAGGCTTGGCACTGAGGAAGTCTCCCTGGTGTGGGAGGGGATGTCTGGCGGTGTTCCGGCGGGCTCGCTTCATAGGTCGCCATTAAGGCTTCTTGTTCTTACACTTAACCAAAGCAGTGCAGATTAAAAAGCATTTTTCGGAACCAGGACAGACTTGGCTTGAATCACTGTCACAGGCCAGTCCCTTCCCCAGCAAATGCTCATTTCCTCTTGGTATTTGGTCCTCTCTGCATTTCAGAGGTAGTTGCTGGGTTACCTCCTAAAATACCATTGTGTGTTCTGAGGTTGCGTATGTGGGATGTGTGTTTCACATGGAATTCCCCTCCGCACTGGAGAGTCCAGTCAAGAGCTGGTTGTCGTCCAGGGGTGGTTGGCATCACTAACTAAAGCTGGTTGGCTGTTGCAGTGTCGGTTGCTTCTTGTATCACTGGTTGGCTGCCGTAGCCTTGGTTGGTTATTGTGGCATTGGTTGCTGTTTAGTGTCGGTTGTGTCATTGGTCGGTTGTTGTAACACTGGTTGGCTGTTGTAGCATTGCTGGTTATTGTAATGTTGGTTGACTGTTGTCCCATCAACTGTAGTGTGGGTCCGTTGCTGGGACACTGGTTGTTACCATAGCATTGGTTGGCTCTTGCAGTGCTGGTGAATTGGTGGTGGCTGTTCTAGCCTTGGTGGGTTGTTGTGGCTTGACTTGTTTGGTAGAACGTTAGTTAGCTGGTGGTTGTTGTGTTGGCTGTAGATGAACCCCAGGTGGGCCCAGAATCCTTTGTCATGAACAGTTGTGTTCCCACCCCACTGCCCTGCATTTACACTCATCTGTGACTCAGAAAATCACCCAAAAGCAAATGCTCAGGTTATTTTAGAAGCAAGCCATGGAGCATATCCAGGAGTTTCGACTGTGTTAACATCTCACAGGGTGCGAGGGTGGCTCTTCTCCTGTGACACTTCCAGCCAAGTCATGGGGCCCACTTGAACCTCCTGGCTCCTCTGTCGGCCTGGTTACCCACTCCGAATTCTCCAGGGCCTCCCCACCTCTGGCTTCCCTGGGTCCTGCACTGTCCTGGAGGCTGCCCTCCCCTCATGTGGCCAGTGGTGCTGTGCTCCTGAATGGCGTGGCTGGAGCTCTTAGCAAGCTCTTCGCCATCTCTGAGAGCCGAGGGCATCATCAGTGCCACTCACAAGGAGGCTGGCATCATCCAGAATCCTGTGGGATTCAAGCCAAGTGGGGAGGCAGGCTGGGCCTGATGGCATCCCTGGGGTCCTCACTTACAGGTCTTGGCCCACTCTCCCCACATCTCAGAGAAGGTGTGAGCCAGGGATCCCAAGGGTGGGTGTAGGCACTTCAGAGGACACCAGCTCGCCCCTCCCTCCCAGCCGCTGGAAGGGACGTGGCATCCTTGGCTTTCCTGACAGTTGCACTCGTGCTGGCCGGCTCAGGTATGGACTGTGCACCTGGCAGGGGCAGCCTCTGGCACCTGGGCCCTCTCGGGAGGATGCTGTGCCCATGAGGTCACAAATTCAGGACTGGGCACTCCCACGCACCCCCACAGAAACCCGGAACCACGGCCTCACATGTTGCTCTGATTTTGCAGGGAAAAAATTAACAATCAGGTTTTCAGAGATTATCTGGTTTCATCCCATTGTCCACCTGGGTCAGAACTTTCTCATCTGACAGGTGAGATGCTCCTTCCAGCCAGACGGGTGCCGCGCTGTCTGCGTGCTGACACAGGAGGATGTTGCCAGGCCCAGCGGTGGGGGGAGTCATGCATGTTAACAATTAGGTTCTGGCTGCCTGCCTTCCTTCCCTCCCCCACCCCCACCCCATTCCTCTCTCCCTCTACCTTCCATTTTAGAGTCAGGGTATCACTCTGCCACTCAGGCTGCCGTGCAGTGGTGTATCTTGGCTCACCGAAGGCTTGAACTCCTGGGCTCAGGTGATCCTCCCCCTCAGCCTTCCAAGCAGCTGGGACTACAGGCGGGCACCACCGCGTCTGAATAATTTTTGCCTAAGTTGGTCTCAAACTCCTGGCCTCAAGCAGTCCTCCTGCCCTGGCCTCCTGAAGCGCTGGGGTTACAGGTGTGAGCCACCACACCTGGCCCGTTATTAAAATGAGCTTCAGCTCTCCTGCCTCCCACCGGGCCTGGGGCACGGCCCCTCCCGAGTCACCCATCCCACCCGGGCACTCCCAGGTGAGCGCAGGAGACCTCACTCCCGGACAACGGGAGGCCGGGTGTGAGGACAACTGATGGGCTGGGCCTGACCCAACAAAACTCACCCTTGCAGGAGCCTTTCGGGCCTGAGCGTGGGTGGCCCAGTCCCTCCCCCTGCCCAAGGGGTGCCAGTCAGTTCATCTGGAACTTTCCCCCAGGGGAAGGGCCTCCCATGACCTCTCAGGAGGAGATAGAGTGGAGGCGGGGGTGCGGGTCCAGCCCTGGATCTGTGCCCACTCGCAGACACGCACCCACACTGCACCGATGCCGTCTCGGGTTCAGGCTCTGGTTAGTCAGGGACAGGTCTCAAGCCGGCTTCGCAGCTGCCTGGAGTCAGAGGCAGAAATGCCCAGAGAGCAAGGAGGCCTGGCCTCCCCCATCCAGCAACCACGCATCTGGGAAGTGCTGGGGGTCGGCGGGTGCGGGACTAGGGTTTCCTCTCCCCACTGGGTGGGACCCCGACCACAGTCTGCCTCATCTTGTCCCCTTGACTTCCAGGCTTATCTGCTGGGAACCCGTGAGCGCCTGCTCTGCGAGTTGCTGGGCTAAGCTCCTCTGTGACTTGGTCTCCCCCCTTCCCGTGATGGGTCTGGCGGGCAGCCTGGAGGAGGTGCCTCCCCTCAGCAACCAAGGACTCTGTCTGGGCTCCCGGCTCCCGCAGGAAGGGTTGGAGCTGGGCTGGCCAGGCGGGCGGCTCTTCCTTCGGGGCTTCTTGCATCAGGTGGGGCGGCGGCGCTGGCGGGGGCTCCATCCAGGGTGCCTGATGGGGGCTCTCTCAGGATTAGGTGTTGTTCCAGGCAGCTGTGTCTTGATCCTGGGACGTTCTGGTGGAAACGACCCATGCAGAGATGCAGTGTGTTTTGCTTTCTAGAAACCTGAGGCTCAGTGGGCATGGAGGGCCGTGTCTCCGGACCCAGAGATTGGAAGGCCTGGAGACCCGGCCCCTGGCAGTTTCCTGCCAAGGCCCAGTCGTGCCCAGGTCCCCATCTGCCCACCCGGCCGTGCACCCACTCACTGCCTTGTCTCCCGCAGGAGCTGCCCAATGGGGAGCCCAAGGACGGGCCCATCCGGGAGAACCAGGGTCCCCTCGAGGGTGAGTGCAGCCCCTGGATGACTCCTCCCAGACCTCAGACTCAACCCGGGCCCAGACCCAGGCTGAAGCCCCTCACGACCCCCCGGGTGAACCGTGAGCACACCTCCATTGTGGAAGCACTCTGCTCCTAGCCCAGGCCAGTGCAGACTCGCGGGGACATGCAGGATGGGCCATTCCGGAGCCTGCCTGCCTGCGAGCTTCCTACCTCGTGTGTGTGATGGGGTGGCCGGCCTACCAGCGAAGGTGACCTGCAGACTCTGGGTCAGAGCCGGGTCGGGTGGGAGGATGGGGAAGGCCCGGGCACTGCCATGTCTGTGGGGTGGGGGCACTGGGGCCGGTGGCTGGCACTTCGCTGAAGCTGCTGAGGCCAGAGGGACCCGGGAACCCTTGGTGGGCTCTGCTGGGAGGAGCACTGGCCTCTGTGCTGGGCGAGACTGGCCTGCGGGGACCGGAGGAGAATGGAGTCACTGTACCAGAGACAAGAGCACTGCTGGCCTCGCTGAGGACAGGAGGGAGGCCTCCTGACCACTCAGTGCTCCCGTGGTGGGCTTGTGCGGGGACCCTGGCTTGGGGCCATGGGGGCTGCAGGTGGGGAAGGCCCAGTGGCCCAGGGACCTGCCTCTGGGGTCCAAGCACCAACACATACGGGGCTTCCAGGCTGGGACCCTCTGCCCCGCCTCCCCTGCCCAGTGGCCCCCTCAGCCTCTCGTCCCTCCAGTGTCGCTGCCCCCTGAGAAGGCCGAGGACTATGAGGGTCCCGGACAGCCCTTCGGCGTGGACAACGGAGAGAGGGCTGCGAGCCGCGAGGGCCTGCGAGGCCAGGGCAGGAAGCGCCTGAACATCGACGTAGGTCCCTGCTCCCCACCCCACGGGCAAGTGGGCCGCACACGGGCATCGCAGACATTCTGGTTTCCTGCGGTTCAGCCGAACTTGAATATGCTGCTGGGCTGGGGCGCTGGTGGGGGTGGAGGTGGCTGTGAATTTGGTTAAAACTGGTTGATGTGGCATCAATAATCTGAGGAACCTTCCCATTCTTAGCGCCTTCATTGCTGCAAGGAAAACACAAAAGCCCCCTCTGCAGATGCGTCGCCCCCTGCCCCCGACCCTGCCCCTGGCCTACCTCCCATCTTTGCCCCCAGCCCGAGTCCCAGTTGAGCAGGGATGAGGCAAGGGGAGGAGCTGGCTTGAGATGATATCTGCAACTGGCAACACTTGCCGGCCCACGTGCCCTCTTCTCACGCTGCGGGACGCTGAGCACTTGCATGAGCTGAGACGGGTGTCATGGTGGGGAAGCTGAGACACGGGGCACGGAGCCAGGCTCCCCCAGGAGGGCTGCAGCCCCATGAGGCCAAGGTCTGCCGATGCGGGGCTCTGGCTTTGGCCACGCTTCTCTCTGGGCTCCCTTTCCCAGCAGGAAGCTGGTTCAGCCCCAAGCCGTGTCTGCAGGGTTTCCTCCCTGGAGAGGCCCTGGAAGACACTGCCCTCTGCAGAGTCAGGGTCAGGCGGTGTGGTTGCGTGCAGAAGGTGAGGGTCCTGTGTGCCTCGCAGGCGCTGCAGTGTGACGTCTCGGTGGAGGAGGGCAACCGCCAGGAATGGACGTTCACGCTGTATGACTTCGACAACAGTGGGAAGGTCACCCGGGAGGTAGCTGGTGGTGCAGGCGCGCATCGCGGGGTTGCTGCCGGGCCTTCTGGGTCTGGAATCAGGATGGGCCCCACAGGCAGACGGTGGTGGTCCCAGGCGGAGACGGACGGGGTGGGCGGGAGGGCCCCACGAGGTCCTCAGGTCCACCAGGGTCACGTCTCCCTGGCTACCCA